GAATTTGGGGAGGGGTCCCGGGGGGGCCGCAGCAGCAGAGTCCGAGGGCTGTGGGGAGAGGAAGAAATTAATTGGGGGGTCCCCAAAATGATGAAAATCCCCCAAATTTACCCCAAATTGACCCTTTTTTATGGTATCAGTCGCTGTTTTGGGGTCTTGGAGCCCCAAATTTAAGGCGGGGCTACACTGGGGCTGTTCCATTTTTTTTATGGGGGGTTTTCCATCTTTTAGGGTCTCCACTTGGGGAGGCACCCCCCATTTTTGGGGTTGATCCCTCCATTTTTGGGAACCACCCAAATTTTAGGGGTTTCAATTTCGGGGTGGGGCTCTTTTTTGGGGGCATTTTTTTGGGATTCTGAAACATTTCCCAGTAATCCCCCCCATATTTAAAGGGGACCTACACTAGGCACTTCCATTTTTTTTATGGGGGGGGGTTTCATTTTTGGAGTCTCCGTTTGGGGGACACCCCCCATTTTTGGGGTTGATCACCCCATTTTTGGGAACCACCTGAATTTTAGGGGATCCATTTTGGATCAATTTTTGGGACATTTTTTGGGATTTCAGGAACATTCCCCAATAATCCCCAAGATTTAAAGGGGGGTACACTAGGGCACTTCCATTTTTTTTTTTATGGGGGCGTTTCCCATCTTTTCGGGTTTCCACTTGGGTGCACCCCCCATTTTTTGGGGTTGATCCCCCAATTTTTGGGAACCACCCAAATTTTAGGAAATCAGCTTTGAGAAGGAAGGCGAGGTTCATTTTTTTTAGGTTTTTTTGAGTTTTTTGGGATTTTTTGGGGGGGTTTCATGAACATTCCCCAATAATTCCCCCCAATTTCAAGCGGGGTCAATTGTGGGATCTCACATTGGGATTTGGGGGTTCCACAGCCCCAATTTTGGGAAGTTAATCCCAAATTTTTTTTTTGGGGTGGGGTCTCACCTGCTCAACGTCAGAATTCGGTGTCGAGCACCCGGAAGGCAGAAGAACCTGCGGGGAAAATTATGGGGTCGGAGAAAAAAACCTCAAAAACTTTGGGGGGTTCCCAAAAGGGACCCCAAAAGGAGGGGTTCAGGTTCAGGGAAGGGGAAATTGGGGTCAAGGTGGAGATTTAGGGGGATTGGAGGGTTCAGGGTTTGCATTTTAAGGTTTTCAGGGGGTACATTTTTGGGGTGCTGATCTGTGGGGTTCAAGGAGTGGTTTAGGGGGGTTCAGGGGGTGTTTCTAGGATTTTTAGGGGGTTCAGGGGGTCCCGTTTGGAGGTGCTGACCTGTGGGAGGCAGGGGATATTTTTAGGGGTTTTTTTGGGTGTTTTTAGGGTTTTTAGGGGTTCATGGGGTCTGTTTTTGGGGTGCTGATCTGTGCAGTTCAGGGAATGTATTTAGGGTATTTTTAGGGTGTTTTTAAGGTGTTCTTAGGGTGTTTTTACGGTTTTTCGGAGTTCAGGGGCTCCATTTTTGGGGTGCTGATCTGTGTGGGTTCAGGGGACATTTTTAGGGTGTTTTTAGGGGTTCCTGGGGTCCGTTTTTGGGTTTCTCACCTGTGGGGGGCAGGGGGTGTTTTTAGGGTGTTTTTAGGGTATTTTTAGGGTGTTTTTAGGGGTTTCGGGGGTCCGTTTTGGGTTTCTAACCTGTGGGGGGCAGGGGGTGTTTTTAGGGTGTTTTTAGGGGTTCCTGGGGTCCGTTTTTGGGTTTCTCACCTGTGGGGGGCAGGGAGGCCGTGCGCAGCCCCGGCTCTTTCTGCAGTTGGATCTCCTTCAGAGCGAAGATGGACGTGGCTGTGGGGGAGGGGAGATGGGCGGGGCCTGATGTCAATGGTGGCCAAGATGGGCGTGGCCATCCCCAAACACCCCCCACTATGAAAATTTGCATAGCTCCACCCACATCCCAACTCCACCCACCCATGGTCAGGACCCTCCCCTCGGTAAGCCCCACCCTCTCCAAGGCTCCACCCCCAAAAAGGCCCCGCCCAAAGAAGCCCCGCCCCTTTTAGCAACCATTGACCCCTCCCAGTGAAGCCCCGCCCCTCAGCCCCACCCATGGAGCCCCACCCCCAGTTCTGCCTTAAGCTCCGCCCACCTAAACCCCCACCTAAACCACACCCACAGTGCCCAACCCATCATGCTGCCACACCCACAATGCCACATCCATTGTAATCACCTTGGCCACGCCCACAATGCCACACACATAGTAATCCCCTTGACCACGCCCACACTGCCCCACCCATCATAATCCCCTTGGCCACGCCCACAATGTCCCACCCACTGTAATCACCTTGGCCACACCCACAGTGCCATAACTATAACAATCCCCTTGGCCACGCCCACAATGTCCCACCCATAATAACCCCTTGGCCACGCCCACAGTGCCACACCCATTACGATGCCACGCCCACAATGCCACACCCACCGTAATCCCCTTGACCATGCCCACAATGCCACACCCCAATGATGCTTGGCTACACCCACAATGCCCCATCCCCTGCGAAGCCCCGCCCCCAGGCCACGCCTACAATGTCCCACCCTTCCCGATGCCACTCCCCTTAGCCCCACCCACAATGCCCCTCCCCGCGAAGCCCCTCCCCTTGGCCACACCCACCCCGCCCTGCCCCCCTTGGCCCCGCCCCCGGCCCCGCCCACTCACTGTCGGGCAGGGAGCTGACGCGCGGTCCGAGGCAGCTGAAGAAGGGGTGTCCCATGGCCTCCGCCGCCGGCAGCCGCCGCCGCCCCTCGAACTGCCCCGCCCCCGTCAGGACACGCCCACTGAGGCAGGGACACGCCCACAAAAGGGCGTGGCCCCGCCCAGCCCCACCCCCTTCCCCCTAAGGATGGGGGGGTTTGAGGAAGTCACGCCCCACCCAGGGCAGGGTGTGGTCATTGGGGGGCGTGGCTAGCAAAGGGGTGGGAGGGGCCACATTGAGGGGCGTGGTCATCAACAGCCACGCCCA